TTAACAGAAGTGTCTAAATGGTCAGGGATATGTTATGACTTCAACATCTTTGTAAATGTCAATGCAAAAGAATGCAGACCCTGAAGGTGGGCATGTGAAAGGGCTTGGCGCCTTGCCTGGCGCCTTATGCAGTTGCTCAGTAACTGCTGAATCAGAACCCAGACAGTGTGGAAGAGGCCTCAGCATGTCCCCGAAGTTAGTATCTTCACATATACATTAATCCAACTGGGGCAAGATTCACTGGTTTTGAATGCCAGACTTTTACAGAAATAGCTGTGTTTTAGTTTGCAGGTTCTGGCTTTTAAACAGGTTCAGCAATTCACATGATCAGCTAAGATCTTATTCTAGGAGGCAAAGAAAAAAAAACGCTGTAAATACTTTTTAGTAAAGGAAAAAATATATATAAACACCAAAAGCTGCAGTTAGAGGGCATTATTCTTCCTCCCTTTTCTGACTCTTGTCCTGATGGAAAATGCTACTTCGGTACCTCAGTGTGCTTTAATATAAGATACATTAAATTGTGTTCATGGGAGCTTTTCCCTCTCTACTGCTAATAGTGTACAGTCTGAGAGGAAAATGTGGAAGATAGCAGGTCTGCTGAAACCCTGTTGCCTACCTGTTTTTTTTAATGTTGATTTGTTTATTTCTTTGAGAGAGAGAATGCGCGAGCACACTAACAGGGGAGGGGCAGGGGCGGGGGGCAGAGGATCTGAAGCAGGCCCTGTGCTGACAGCAGAGAGCCCAATGCAGGGCTCAAACTCACGAACCGTGAGATCATGACCTGAGCAGACACTTAACCAACTGAGCCACCCAGGTGCCCCCACCTATGTGTTTTCAGTAGCCTTTTCCTCTGCAACCCTGACAGCCAGCTGTGGTCTATATAAGATACGTGGATACGGGAGCTCCCTCCAACAATTTTTAATTCAGATCTATGTTTTTTGTGGATTACCTCTTGTGCCTCTCCCAGCCCCCTTCCCCTCTTTCACTCTCTCTCTCTCTATTTGTTTATCAACATCTAGCTAGCAAGTTGTAGAGCTCAAATTAGCATTCGGGTCTATCCAGCTGCCATACCTCCTGCTCTTTCCTCTTCTGTCCACTGTGTCTGAAGGCCCCTGCCCAAATGGAAGAACTGCCATCTGACAGTATGTACTGTCTGCCACCCTGATTCTAAAAAGTCCTTTTTTTTCCTTGTCAGTGTCCTTTAATTTTTTTTTAATGTTTTTTTTTATTTTTGAGAGAGAGAGACAGAGCGTGAGCAGGGGAGGGACAGAGAGAGAGGGAGACATAGAATCCGAAGCAGGCTCCAGGCTCCAAGCTGTCAGTGCAGAGCCCGACGTGGGGCTCGAACTCACGAACCGTGAGATCGTGACCTGAGCTGAAGTCAGACACTTAACCGACTGAGCCACCCAGATACCCCTCCTTGTTGGTGTCCTTGAAAGCTTTGCTCCAGTGAAACAGCTTTCTTCTGTCTACGTTTTCCCCTTTTCTCTCCCTAAATTGTTGCCAGGCTTTGTGATACAAGTCAGTAGTAGTATAGCCATTAAATTTTAGTTGTAATCTACCTTACTGAACTGATTCCAATAAAGAGCTGTTTTGTAGATTCCAAATGGCCTAGGGCTGGATTTAATAATGACATTTATTTAATTTCACTTACTTATTAATTTATTTTTAAATTAGATTAAAAATTTCTCTATTTGACCCTTACTTCCAATATAGAACTGGAATATAAAACCAAAACATAATTCAGCTAGCTAAACACATTGTTGGGGCAGATATTATGAGCTCCTTTTTATTTGGGGGGATGGAGAATTTCTTTTCTTTTTGATGATGTGACATTTGACACATATAAATGGAGCATAAAAATAGAATGAACACCTATGAATCTGCTTAGAGTTCACTTAGAGTTACTTAGACTTAAGAAGTAGAAAATTTTAGGTACTACTGAAGCTTCCTGTGTCCATTCCCTGATCACATTCCCCACCCTTCCTCCTGGAAATAAGTACTCTAGAATTTTGTTCATTCTCCCCCATTATTAGCCTTATCTTTTTGCCTGTGGCAGAAAGGTTGTTTTTCTTGTTTGTTACTGTTTCATCTTAACCCTGGGTAGATAGCTGTTCTAAAACAAAAATTTAGCATATTAAATTATAAGCTAATGTACATAAATGTCTAAGTATGTCTGGATAGAGTTGATTTACATGCATATGTAACCAAAGTCTGTAATAAGGTTTGGGCCCAGGCAACTACAGAACTGTGTTTATAAAATCGTATAAAACAAGCTCTTTTGTTTTACTGAATATGTAGTATCCTTCTGGTAGGTACTTTGCTTTGTCTTTTCCAGCATTACTATTGTGTTTTATTCCACATACATTTGTCAATAGAAGGGGGGAAAAATCACTTGTCAATATAGCACTTGTGTTGTGTTCTCTGACTTTGCTAGTTATATTTATAAAATTGAAATTTTCAAATTTTATGTATTTTAAAATCAAATTTTTTTTAGTTTAATTTTTTGAGTAATGTTCAGAATTTAGAAGAGTTGTAGAGTCATGCATTTAGGTTATAGTGTCTTTTACATAGTATTTGAAATGACATTTCCGGGGCGCCTGGGTGGCGCAGTCGGTTAAGCGTCCGACTTCAGCCAGGTCACGATCTCGCGGTCCGTGAGTTCGAGCCCCGCGTCAGGCTCTGGGCTGATGGCTCGGAGCCTGGACCCTGTTTCCGATTCTGTGTCTCCCTCTCTCTCTGCCCCTTCCCCGTTCATGCTCTGTCTCTCTCTGTCCCAAAAAAATAAATAAACG